ATGATGTTCAGTTCATTTAAAGTGGACCTTAAAGTTATTTGGAAAGTTATGATGTATGTTTAACATTTTAAATTTTGGACTTAGAGTTCGGTTTATTGTCTAAGTTGTTAGAATGTTTCCATGACTAAACTATCTTTTGCCTATCTTAATGAATGGGAGTGACAGACGAGTAACTCTGAGCTCTTAGTCATTAAAGGTAGTGTTTAAGTTTGGTTATAAACAAGTCATAATTAAAATATAGTTAGCATTATGCTAACATTAATGGATATCTACTTAAGGCATGTTTTTAAGGTTTTACAGATCTTACGGTGTACTCCTTTGTACAATTTGGATGATTTTATTTTTTTAGTTGTGCATATATATATATATATATATATATATATATATATATATATATATATATATATATATATATATATATATATATATATATATAGAGAGAGAGAGAGAGAGAGAGAGAGAATCGGCCTTAAAGTACTGAGAATTAACCTTAGGTTTGTTCACAAAGGACCCAAGTTGGAGAATTAAAAATTAAAATGCATGTGATGCATAGAAGATACTACTGTGTTAAATAAGGACATGTCGCTATGATTCATTTGTTTTGTTCTTTGATGAGGGTTGTTCTAGTAGTACTTGCACTAAGTGGGAAAATGTAAGATTTTATTGTATTATATGTTATATAGTAGGGCCTTAAATTAAGTTATGCAAGTTGACTAGGCTTACTATTTAGTTTGGTTGGACGGAATAACTAGAAGTTGTTAGTCAACCAGACTCTGTGCCTAATATAGAGCCTATATTGACGGGGACATAGGATATATATTATATAGCACTTTCATTTTACGATACTCATGTTATTCAAAAAATATCAATACACCATCTAAGATTCTGAGTCAAGTATAATCCAAAACGGTAAACATTACTCTACAATTTACCATTCAAGAGGCAATACACCACAAGAGGATATCAATGGTTGAAGATCAACACCGATATGATTCGGTCCCACTACTGCTAGGTTAGGTTCTTCGCATTTAAATTTATTCTCTTATTAGACTATAGATATATCTAACACAATAAACCTTAATATAAAGAATTTTAATTTTTTAAATATTTTAAATATTACTCAGTCCATATTTGTTTATAAAGTTACTGCAAAATCTTTTTGCAAGTTGTAAAGGTGCATACGTGGTAGAATTGGATCGATTTGTTGCAATCCCCACATGCATTCTAATACACAATGTTCAAAGTTTAAGGAAAAAGTTATTTAATATGTTTTATTATTCTAAAGAAGAAAAAGGGTGCATATGCGTTGTGTTTTATATACTTAGTCTTTATATACACGATGTTAAAATTATAGTTACACGATATATTAAGAAAATTCAATTAATATTGTTTACAACATATATATATATATATATATATATATATATATATATATATATATATATATATATATATATATATATATATATATATATATATATATATATGTGTGTGTGTGTGTGTGTGTGTGTTAACCAAATATTGTAAATTTTAGTATTTTTTTGAGTACTATTGACTCTATTAGAATGTAATATCTCTTCATACATACTTTCTCAACTTACTGAAGCGTTCAAACCTAAGACCTTTGAATTGGGGAGCCACAACTATGCTGCCTGATCACAAAGTCTTCGGTGAAAATATTGTAAATAGTAGTTCGGGGCCACAACAGCAACTCTTGGTGGCACAGTTTCTGTGATTGGTAATGTTTCTGCCGAAGTATTACTAGCCATAGGGAATGAAAATAATAATAATAATAATAATAATAATAATAATAATAATAACAACAACGGAAGCAACTTAAAAAAGCTCTGATACCATGTTGAATTTTTGGTGAAAGAAGAAACCAAGCTCAATGGTATATTATTTCTCACACTGGAATTAAATACAAAACAAACTATAAATAGGAGTTTGTCAACCAGAAAAAACTATTTATCAGCTATACACGCTGAACTAACTTATTTAACAAAAATAATAAGTTTGATCTAGTCTACTCCTAATTTATTGCATGACGGGCTTCTGTGGCTGTAGATTTTAACATTGATATTGCTTTTGAATTTAGGTTAGGAACACTAACAAGTATAAACCAAAAACAAGCCAAGTCATTTGGCATTTAAGTATGTTGTTGTTAATACATTTGAAATTCCTAATACATGTTTTCAAGCTATAATTAACACATTAGAAATTGAATTGTTGGATAGGGTCAAGGAGTATTATCGTCCACCACAAGTTCGAAATCACAAAATTATTTGGGATGAGGAAGAGGTAAGATAATAACTGGACTGCAATAATTCAACTTTCTAACGGTCTGAATAAGTCCTCGAGCTAGAAGTGTGTGTCTTTGAGTGCATCCAAGTCCTCAGCTTCACCCAAAGTTTTTGAGTCTTAAACTTGTCATCGACCTCAATTGTCTTCATATCATTATATTATGATCAATTATTTTAATTTTTTGTTTTTGAATATAACTTTTTAACACTTTTATTCTGATCTTATTATAGAATCATACATAACCAAACACCAATATTAATAATCATTATAGTTTCATCCTACTACCAAACATGCAAAATACTTTCACTAAAATCCATTACCATTATCAAGTATTTGATTTCCATTTCGATTTTGATTTTTATATGCGAACCAAAGACACCCTAAGTTCATACAAATATTACATGGTGAATTGATAGCTAATTTAATACTTTGTTAAGACTATGGAGTGAAAGCTAAAGGGAAGTTACAACTAGCATTAATGACCTTAATATTGGTGATACTTGTCTACATCTGTTCTAGTAGCCTTGACACTAACTCGACCTATAATATCCCAAGCGACTTCTTGAGTTGTAAGAGCCTGAATGACTTTTTCAAAGTTACTTTATTGGGTTAAACCCATTGAAACATGGATAATAAATCCAACAATATGCAAATCCTAAAAAAAAAAAAAAAAAAAGCATCAATTTTTAGATTTTACTCATATAGTCAAAATGAATGGATGAATCTGATTCACATTAGTTTGTCGGTCTTCAAATTTGTTAGTCCATATCCTTAGGTATATATATAGTCAAGTTGGAGTTTGAGATCCGTCTTTGCAATGAGAGAAAGTTCTTATATAACATCGACAATAATGAGGGCAAATTATACTATGGACCACCAAAAGTAAATTTTTAATATATAAAAATTACTGAAGATTCATTATTTGATATATCAAATAATAAATTTTTTGTACAGAAATAATGTATTTTTTAAAAAAATAAACATTCAACGTATTAAAAATGTGTCTTTAATATATTAAAAATATACTTTATATCAGTAATTACCTTACAAGGTGATCATTGTCCATGGTACAAATTGGACAATGAGTGTTGCTTTTTGGTGGGCGGAAGCAAGTACAACTGTACAGGGTTAAGTCTAGTATTAATTAAGTGGCTAGCATCATATCTCTCAAAAATATCAGTATAAAAAAATATAATTGTGTTTTCGCTACCAATTATAACTTTTGGTGTAAAATCCTTACAAGTGATATTAAAATCAAGTCAGAGACTAGCAGGTGCTGGCGGATGTTTGTTCCCATTGTGTTTTCAAGATAATCTTACATTATTTAAAGAACTTCTTTTCACGTTTGGCTCCTATGTTTTTTTCTTTAATCACATTTCTTGATGTCGGGCATTTTCTCAAATTTTTAAGATATATATATGGTACAAAAAAAAAAACAAAAAAAAAAAAAAAAAAAAAAAAAAAAAAAAAAAAAAAACCTTAACCCACCTCAAAAATGAAAATAAAAGTACAATTATTATTTTTCATTTATAAAACTTGAAAAATATTATTATTCTGCTGTTGTTTACCTTTGTTGATATTTAAATTTTGATTAGTTTTTAATATTAGTATATTTAAAATATTTTAGATAATATTGATATTATCTAATTTCTAATTTGTTAATTAGATAATATCTAAAGAGTTTGAACATATCAAAACTCTTCTATTCTATCTTGGGAAAATTCATAGAAAGAACTCTGAAGCTTATTTAGAGATCACAATAAAAATGTGATCCTGAAAGTAAAAGTCCCTCCTCCTCCAAACTATATACAAGCCTTTGAAGATTAAGCCATTTGAAACCCGGAGGCCTTAAGCCTTTGAAGATTAAGCCATTTGAAACCCGGAGGCCTTTCAATGGTGGAGTGTTCAAGGTAGCATCCAATTGGAGAATCAGAGGATCATGGAGGATCATTCAGAGACTTGTACCCACACCTCCAATTGGAGAATCAGATGATCATTCAGAAAATTGTACCCACACCGCATTGATACTTGACATGTAACCAGAATTTTGAATTTTAAAATATATTTTATTCAAATTTTCTTTGTTCACAAATCTGGGTTATAGTAGTATATGTACAAGATGTACAAGATCTCTGGATATCCTCTGATTCTTTAATTGGATGCCTTGAACACTCCACCATTGAAGGAGGATGCGTTGAACACTTCACCATTGAAGGAGGATGCCTTGAATACACCACCATTGGGTTTCAAGTGGTTTAATCTTCAAAGAATCTTTGGATATCCTCTGATTCTTCAATTGGATGCCTTGAACGCTCCACCATTTGAATGGCCTGCCTCCGGGTTTCAAGTGACTTAATCTTAGGGCGCCCCGTGTTCAAATGGCTTGATCATTCAATGGACAAGCATTAGTAAAGGGACGAAAAGTGCAATGTCAATAATAAATTAGGAATGAAAAGTAAATATGACCAACATTAAGGAGAACTCTACAATTGTTCTATAACTCGGGAACCAAAAATATAATTCTCTCTATTTTTAATTTTCAATACAATTTCGCGGGGTCAGGAGGCAAGAAAAAAGAGTTGATAAAACATCCAAAAGAAAACAGAGAAAGGCTTTTATATTTCTGGACAAAACTGAAATAATCTCAAAATCCGAGCCCCTTTTCCATGCAGGCATGCATAAAAGGCCACCGCCACACTGCAGATCAGAGCTCATCAAAGCCAAAACGCACACTCCCCTTTAATTTGCTTTCAGGCGTTTCAGCCTTTAATTTTCTCCAAACAACACCCAAAATATGAGGAGGATTTCAATTACTGTTCCGGCGGTTGCGTTACTGGCCGCGCTACTCTTCGCCGCCGCCTCCCAAATCTCCGTCGCCATCACTGATGGTAAGAACCAGCTCCGATCCGATCCCCGGCCTATTATCTCATTTTCAGTTGCCTTCTTTCTTATTACTTCTTCAATATTTGACACCTGAAATTCAGTGCTTCACATATATCATGTGATAGATGGCAAAGTGCACATTACGTGTTTGATGAGAAGTTTAGCAAATCACCTTCTCAAATGGTTAATATTAGGGGTTTGAGTTCTATGGAAAAGTTTCAAATTTTATTTTTTTGTACTTGTTGTCTTTTTTTCTTAAACACTCATTATTTTTTACAATGTAATATCTATTTTATACTTTTGCAATTTTTTTTCATTATTATTTTCTTATCTTTTTTTTTGTTTGGTAGTGATTTTCTTATCTAATTATTCGTTTAATTTTTTTTTTCAAATTTATCAGTAAAGAATAGAAATTAAATGTTAAGAGAAAAGGTTTGAATGATATAATCAATGATATTAATTAGTATATTTAAATTTCATAGAGTGTCTTTTTTATGAGACTATATCACTAATTTTTATTAGTTAGATGGTGGATCAATATGAAAATGTAATATTTATATTAAAAAAATATAATATTAAATAAAGTGTTCGATAAATAGGGAACATTTTATTTCTAATTAATATTACCGTATAAATATTATACTTTATTTTAACTCACTTGTTTCACAAATAAAAATTATAGATAATTTCACCCAAGTTTTTGTAAACTTCATAAAGTTTAAGTGATGTATATAAATATAAGTATTAAAAAGGTGGGTCAAAACTAGATGGTGTGGATCGACAAAAGTTGCATAAGAATTTGGACAGTGCAGAAGATTATATGCTTGTGTGCAGTAACTGCACGTAGTGCACATGCACTTGTCTGGTCTTGCTGTACAGATTTCTTTTCCTCTGAGTTGGAATTTGATCTTTTTTGTCATGTGAAAGTGACAGCTACAGCATGACATAATCAAATAGTATCAAAAGATTTCATAGTAGGGCTCGGATACAATTTATAATGTCAATAATCCTAGATTGAGTCAGTCAGTTATGAATAATTTAAATTAGTTTACTTCTTTATAATCTTTTGTCGATTAGAATCACAAAACACTACTGGAAATTATTAAATTTTCAACCACCTTAAAGTGATCTTCAAGTTGAAACTAAAAAGTGGTTAGAAATAGCAATAAAGGTTTTTCCGGATACCAAAAATGGTCGGAACAAGACTTTCAACTTAATCACTTTCAGATGGTCGGAAATTCCATAATTTTCAATAGTGAAACAAGATTTACTCAATGAACACCCGACCCTGGGGTATAGTTGTGAGTTTTCCTTCATGTCAAAAGTGGTCATCCCTTCACGGTATTCTAGACTTTTAGCTGAAATGAAAAACATGTTTCAATTTGGTATTAACTAACATATTTTATATAGGAAAATTTTATACATGAAACTCATTTTTTGTACTTGGAAAAAACAGGATTAATAGTTAATGGCAACTTCGAAGCACCGGTGAAGAAAACGGAGCTAAACGGCACGGTGGTGTTGAAGCAGGACGCCGTGCCAGGGTGGATCATCACGGGGTTCGTGGAATACATCTTGGCGGGGCAGACGCAAGGGGACATGCTCCTGGTGGTGCCGGAAGGCTACGCCGCCGTGCGGCTGGGCAACGAGGCGTCCATCAAGCAAAAACTGAACGTCACAAAAGACATGTACTACTCCATAACGTTCTGCGCCGCCCGGACATGCGCGCAGGAGGAGAAGCTCAACGTGTCGGTGGCGCCCGACTCCGGCGTCTTGCCCATCCAAACACTGTACAGTAGCAACGGGTGGGACTGTTACGCGTGGGCGTTCCAGGCGGACTATAACGAGATTGAGATCATAATCCATAACCCCGGCGTGGAGGAGGACCCCGCTTGTGGTCCCTTGATCGACTCCGTTGCGATTCGGACGCTCTACCCTCCTAGACCTACTAATGGTACGCTATATTATATTTTTCACCCACTTTTCAAGATTAGGTTGGTTTTTGTTAGGATCAAGTTGGGTGCGGGACTTGGTATTTATCACCCTTTGTTCAACAATTCCTCCCTCCCATCACTAATTAATTAGTCTTTAAAATGTTATTAGGGGCTAATTATGCTATGGAAGATGGACACGGTTCTAAAAAGGTTCATAATTATGAATATATAGTTTAAAAATTATGAACATATAGTTTTATAATTATGAACATAGAGTTGTGAATATAATTATGAACATATAAATATGTAATTATAAATATAGAGATTTAATAATTGTGAATATGAAGTTCAAAAATTATGAATATATTGTTTTATAATTATAAACATATAGTTCAGTAATTATGAACATAGAGTTCTGTAATTGTGAATATAGAGTTCAATAATTATGAATATGAAGTTCAAAAATTATGAATATATAGCTTTATAATTATTATAATTATAAACATATAGTTTAATAATTATGAACATAGAACCGTGTCCACCTTGCAAGGTGGACACGGTTCCACAGCATAACGATTGGTTATTAGGTCTTTGACTTTGAAGGTTTTACCTAATTCTGTTGAGATAGCTTGAGTAGCTTCACCTCTATTAATATTCAATTTAGTCATCAATTATAGTAGTTTTACCCAAGTTAGTCTATCTTTAACCACAGAGATTTTACTTTTTTTTTTTTTTTGAATGCACAGAGATTTTACCTAATTTGTCATCAACCATAGAATTTTTTTTTGGGTTTAACCTAAATAAGCACAAAAGACGACTAAATTAAAATAAAATAAAATTAATATAATCAATGATTAAATTGGATATTAACTCTCTAGTCTTAATTCTTGACTATTATGCAGTGAACTTGGTAAAGAACGCGGATTTCGAGGAGGGTCCATACTTGTTCGCGAACGTGACAACCGGCGTTCTTTGCCCGCCCTTCATCGAGGACGACCACTCTCCCATCCCGGCGTGGACGGTGGACTCTCTGAAAGCCGTGAAGTACATAGACGCGGAGCATTTCTCGGTGCCCCACGGCAGGAGAGCCGTGGAACTGGTGGCCGGGAAAGAGAGCGCCATCGCTCAAATCACCAGAACAATTGTGGGCAAAATTTACGACCTCACGTTCCTGGTGGGAGACGCCAGCAACTCGTGCGAGGGCTCCATGATCGTGGAGGCGTTCGCCGGGCAGTCCACGCTCAAAGTCCCCTACGAGTCCAAGGGCAAGGGCGGATTTAAACCGGCCAAACTCCGGTTCAAGGCCACCGCTAACAGAACCAGGATTATGTTCTTCAGCACATACTACCATACACGAAGCGATGACTTTGTCTCACTCTGTGGCCCCGTTGTTGACCACGTCAGGCTTCTCAGTGTTCGTCATCCCAATTTTCTCCCTTAAATTCAATCCATATATAATTTTCGATTATACTATATATGAAGATGAAGATATATCAATTTTACTTCCCCAAATACTGTTTATTGAACCAGAGATCGTGCGGATATATATGGATTTTTGTTGTAATATGAAGCGAGGAGATCGATGGAGAAAGTTTGTCTTACCTCATAGTATGCATGCATGATATTACTAACTACTACTATATGAATACTTCTATTTATATATATGTATGACTCTCTAGTGGAAGTCAATATATAGTATTATGTATATTGTGATGGGTACGTGTTGAATGGTAATTTGTTGAAATAATAATTATATACTTCGATCAATGAATGTTTGTAATATTTCGAGTGTGATATGTGAAAATCCTTTGTCGTAGTTTTTCGATACTTCATAATACGAACTAGAAGTTTCTGTCGTTTGTAATTTTACTATTACTATAGTTTATTTATTTTTGGTGAAGACTATTACTTTAATTTGAACACATAATCAATTAAATGATAATGCATACTTACATCGCCTCATCGCTCATGTTTGGTAACATATATAGTTAATTTATTAGTTAATTTTTACTTATTTGATTACTATTAGTTATTTGACTTGGTCAAACATTCAATATAAGTGTTTGATTAATTAGCTATTTAACAAGCTTTTTAGATCAGCTTTTTGAGAAAGTTATTTTACATGTAATTAGGTATAAGCTAACACATAATTTACCAAACAATCAGCTAATGCTATCAACTAGTCAAATTCACTAACTCAATCAGCTAACACCAAACACCCCATTGTATAAAAATAAAAATAAAAATAAATTAAAAGCGAATCTCAATTGTTATTAGTATTACAAAAAATATGTGGTTCAATTCAATTTTATATGAAGGGAATATATTGAGCACGATTATAAACATTTAGTAATAATGTAACACATATTTTGAAGTAACATTTATTTGCAAGGAAGTTGATGAGATGACCACTAGTAAGCCTCAACCTTTTACTGAAGAACCAATTGACATCTAGACTCAACTTCAAGTAGATGAAGATATGGCAAAGCAAATGGAGAATGAGGATAGCCACACTATCACAGAATGACTTTTAATGATGGTTATTTTAAAATTTTCACATCAATTTTTAGGTGTAGTATATTAATGTATATACTATCGTAACGGCACATCTCTGTGGCTCTCCTTGAGAGAAGGTCAATCGAACCGTGGTGATGGGGTATTGACTCTTTGGATTGCAATAGAAAGAGAAAGTATAAAATAAATACTACCTTGTAATAGAGTCAATAGTACTAAAAAGAAAAAATAAAGTATATACTATTATAACGTAGAAATCGTCATCATAAGTATTTTAAAATACATAAAGAAATATTTTTAATGGTGATTTTTGTTCAAGATATTACTACGAAAATAATATTTCTGGAAAATAACAAACACAAGAAACAAAAGGATTTTGGTTGTTAGTACAAGTCGAGCAAAACACTATTTCCTTAAAACTTTATTTGCTACATCCCAAAGGTGTTAGGAGTGTTATAGTCTAGGTTTCCCATAATAAAATCGTACTGCAATTCTATGTTTGAGCACTCAAACAAAATAATCCGACGAACAAGAACAAGGGATGAACACAAGAGGTTTGAGAACGAATTTGAGCAGAGTTTTGAGAAGATGAAAGCTAATTCATTTGTGTAAAATCACCTAGTCAAAAGATTAGATTCACATCCCAGACACGCAAGAGAGAGTATCTATGCTATAGACCAAAATTAAATATACTATTAAAAGATTCTTGAATATATAGTGGTACAAATCCCTTTGTTTTTCCAATGTGGGACAAAGACTACTTTAAAGCCTCTCCACCTTCATTTTCCAACTCAAATAGGTCTACTTTGAGAGTCAATTTCTCATTCACCTATTATTCGTTTTGAGCGTACAATATATCAATCTCTTCGTCTCACTACGAAGAACCCGAATCCACTTTGACCCGACCCAATTGAAAGTAGACCTCACATATATTTGTACCACAAAACAGCCACTTACAATGCTATTTTTGCTAGTTTCCAACAATTTTTAGGGAAGAATGAAGGGTATTTTGCATTTTTTTTCTCTCCAAATTCTGCGTGTTGAAGCTGTGGAGGAGATTGGGGAAGAATGAATTCAATGAAGGGTATTTGATTTCATTCTGCTGAGGAACATTTAATATTTTTAGATTTGACGATATTAACCTTAGATTTAACATCCATTTAACAGTAATTATAACGGATGACTATTTGTGGTAAAAAAAAATAAAAGTCAATGTATACTTTTTGATCGAATTGAAAGTCGATGACTAAAATGAGTACTACCCCTATAGTCATAGAACCATTTATGGTATTAACTCTAAATAATATATGTAAATACATGATGTAATTATTATATTTATAATAATAATTTGTAATTTATGAATCTACATACCTTCTCTTCTCCTCTCCCTTCTCTGCAAATCATCTGTTTCTTTTCTTCTTCTTCTTCTTCTTCTCACAAATTCAGGTTTATTACAAATGGTATCAAAGCCCACATCCATGGAAGCTCGAGTGAGTAAGTTGGAAGCTCAAATAACTGGATTGAGCATCAAAATTGATACACAATTTCAAGCCACTAAAGATTTAGTGGAGCGATTCATGGCTCAGATGAAGTCTACGATGTGCTGAAGGGACGAGGTGAGGGAGGCTCTGGGACTCAATAGATGTGCTCCGGTGGTGTTGGCTCAACCCTCGGGGTTCTCTTCAATCCATGGACGAAGCCCATATGAAGAAGGTCGCATCTTCAATGGTTGGGCTCCAGATAGGGGTGGCAATTTCAATCCGCCCTGGAAGAGAGTCTTAAAAAGTAAAAAGTATCCACCCCGCGTGGGTCGGGTTTTTTTGGTTGGTAGTGGGTGATGGGTCGGGTGTGAGTCTTAAAAAGTAAAATCGCGGTGGATCGAGTTGGACTCGAGTTCTATGTACAAACCCCACCTAGAACCCCACCCAACCCACCATGTAGTTATTTATAAGAGTTTCTACAATTTTATGTAAATTTTTACTATTTTTATATCTAAACTAAGAAGTTTATTTTTTAAATTAACAATTTAGTTATTATATTTAAATACTGTTATTATTTTATGTTTTTGTATAACTAATCACTAGTACAGAATAGAGCAAAGAAATCCTACTATAAGCTACCCTTCTTTAAACAAGGGTAGTGTATTATTTTAAAAAAAAGGGGCGGTGGCATAATTGTAATTAAATGAATAAGAAATCGCTACCCTTTCTAAAAGAAGGGTAGCGGTTTAGAAAAAAAAAAAAAAGACGGAAAGAGTTTCCACTGCCCTTTCGCGTAGAAAAGGGCAGCGGAAACGATATTATAAAAAAAAAAAAAAAATTAAAAAAACCTAACCCTCGTACAACGCGTTCTCCATCCTCTCACCACCAAGGCTTCTGCAAACCTAACCATCCCCTCACCGCTCAATCTCACCACGGCCGGCGAGGACACCGCATCTCGATCTACTCACCGCATCTCCGGCAAGGACACCGTCTCATCGTCGATTCACCGCCCCACAACCTCATCCGCCGTCTCCACCGCCACAGGGTCGCCGACGCTGCTTCGAGCCGCCGCCGCTGCTTCGAACCACCGCTCCAGCCCCTGCTTCGTTTAATCATTTCATCATCTCAGGTAGTACTAAATTGCATATGCAGATAGGTTAAGCGTTGTTTGTATTCTGTGACGTGTGCAGGACACTGCCTTAAAAGCTTAATGCCGGAGACTGTGCGGTCTTTTTCCCGACGCTTTCGACTGGCTAACACAGAAGTGTTCACGTTCTCTTTGCACTATGAGAGATACGTAGTATATATATATCGATTATATCCAGTGTAACTTCAGAGGATTGGGAAGGCAGATATATATAATGGTGAGAGTATCTGACTTCCCAGTATCAGCCACAACCAACTGTAAAATTAGATGAAGGAACACAAAGGGAGGAACGCTATTTGTGTTCGTAGTGCGTTCGTAAATGTCCACTAACGCCGCGCAAAAGTCTCTCTTGCCTAAGATTAATTCTGAGTGCGTAGACTAAGAATAATTCTGTGGAGTAGCGGAAAAGTCGGACAAAAAAATAATTGCCGCGTAAAACTTCGACCCCACCACACCGCGCGTGCGAGCCGAGCCGAGCGGGCGGCGGCGGCGGCGCGCGCGGGGACTTCTCCTTTCCCTCCCTTGAAAAGATTTCAAAGGCTCCAAAAGGGTTGGCATTTAAATGATGGGAAATTGTCCCTTAGGAGACCAATGTGGGACAAATGACAAAGCTAAACCTCAACACCCTTGGATGTATTCTCCAACAATCCCCCACACATACAAGGGGTGTGGAAAAGGGCGTTTTAGTGCAATCCCAAAGGCTGACCTTAATGTCAGTGTGTAAACTTGAACTGACACGTAGTGACCTGAGTAACTTACTTCTCAGGAGTGAACTAAGTCTTGAACTCTTTGAGAAGTGGGTAGTTTTGAACTCTGGTTCACATATCAACGCTTCAGGACGTCTTCCAAGTAGATACATAAGTCTTTTCATGGTTTCGTTTGACCACTACAGTGGTGTCCACCTTGAATTCCTTATCTCTTATTTTAAGCCCATTTCCCTTGACGTGTCAAGGATGGCTTTCCTATTTAGTCCTTTTGTTAGAGGATCTGCAATATTCCTCTCGGACTTCACATACTCTAGTGTGAGTACTCCATTCACAATTAACTGCCTTACAGACTCGTGTCTGACCCTTATGTGTTTTCTTTTTCCATTGTAGGAACTGTTTTTGGCTACACATATGGCAGTTTGTGAGTCACAACGCACAGATACTGATGGAGGAGAGGTCCCCCACAATGGCACGTCTGCCAGTAGGTTTCTCAGCCATTCAGCCTCTTGCCCAGCCAGATCAAGGGCTATGAACTCAGCTTCCATTGTTGACCTGGCTATACATGATTGCTTCGTGGATTTCCACGACACAGCAGCTCCTCCCATGGTAAACACATAACCACTAGTGGAGCTTACGTCATCACTGTCATTAACCCAGTTTGCGTCGCAATATCCCTCCAGGACATTTGGAAACCCACTGTACTGTAGGCCCCACTCAATAGTGCCTCTCAAGTAGCGCAGTACTCGTTTCAGGGCATGCCAGTGAACCTCACTTGGATTGTGAGTATATCGACTGAGTCGGTTGACTGCAAGAGCGATGTCCGGTCTGGTATAGTTCATTAAGAACATCAGACTTCCTATTAATTTCGCATAATTTTCTTGAGCCACTCCTGGTCCAGTGTGTTTTTGTAGTTTGACACTGGAGTCATACGGCGTTGAAGCCGGATTCACTTCATGACTGTCAAATTTCTTTAACAGTTTTTCTGTATAGTGACTTTGTGTCAACTTGTAGTTGTCTTCACTGTGTATGACTTTTACTCCAAGTATTACATCAGCCTTCCCCAAGTCTTTCATGTCAAACTTTTCAGAAAGTGACCTCTTGGTCTTCTCTATTGCTTTGACATCGGGGCTGAAGATTAGCATGTCATCTACATAGATGCAGATGAGTACTACGCTAGACTCAACTTCTTTTGAGTACAGACAAGCATCTGATCTGTTTACCACGTAACCCAGATCCAGTAGTGTGGTGTGAAATTTTTCATACCACTGTTTTGGAGCTTGTTTTAATCCGTAGAGAGATTTCACTAATCTACAGACCTTTCTTTCTTGTCCTGGTTCTACACACCCAGGAGGTTGGTCCATGTAGATTTCTTCTTCTAGATCTCCATTTAGGAAGGCCGTTTTGACATCCATTTGATGGACTGTCCACTTGTGCGCTGCGGCTAGCGCAAATAACACTCTAATCGTTGCTATTTTTGTTACAGGTGAGTAGGTACAGAAGTAGTCTTCCCCAAACTTCTGTCTATAGCCTTTGGCTACCAGTCTCGCCTTAAACCTTTCTATTGACCCATCGGGTCTTAGTTTTCTTTTGAAGATCCACTTGCAGCCAATAGACTTGGCTCCTTTGGGAAGTTCTACTATTTCCCAAGTGTGGTTAGACTTTATTGAGTCTAGTTCACTTTGAACGGCTTCTTTCCAGAATACCGCATCAACTGAGCGCATAGCCGCATCGTAGGTCTTTGGTTCTTCTTCTAGAACCAGTTGACACACGAACTGCTCAGAAAGTTCATTTACGTCTTTCAGTTCAGTTATGTATGTTATAAAATCTGACCCAAACGTTGTTTCAGTTCGCTGTCTTTTGCTTCTCCTGAGTTGTTCAGGCTCACTCTCCACTTGTGAGTAAGGAAGCGAAGGCTCACTCTCCACTTGTGAGGAAGGAAGCGAAAGTAATTCATTCACATTAGGGGTTTTTAAAGGAAAGATAGTTTCAAAGAACTCAGCTTCCCTGGCTTCACATATAGCCCGGTTCTCTAATTGCATGAACCGATAGGCTGCACTATTCTCTGCATACCCAACAAAGACTGCATCTACAGTCTTAGACCCAATGCTGGGCCTTTTGAATGAGGGTAGCCCCACTTTCGCTAGGCACCCCCATACTCTGAAGTATTTCAGATTCGGGGAGTATCCTTTCCACATCTCATATGGAGTATTATCGTACCCCTTATGGGGTATTCTATTTAGAATGTGATTAGCTGTAAGTGCAGCTTCTCCCCAAAGTGCATTAGGAGCACCCGAACTTACCAGAAATGCACTCATCATTTCTTTGATAGTTCGATTTTTTCTCTCGGCTACGCCATTCTGTTGTGGCGTATAAGGGGCTGTAACTTCATGGATTATTCCATGTTTTTCACACAATGATTTAAAAGATGCAGATTCATATTCACCTCCCCTATCTGAACGCAATCTTTTTATTCTCATATTTAGTTGATTTTCTACTTCATTTTTGAAGATCACAAATTTATCTTCGGCTTCATCCTTAGTTCTTAGCAGATATATTTTACAAAAGCGAGTAAAATCATCAATAAAAGATATGTAGTATCTTTTCCCACCTTTAGATTCTGTGTTTCTAAAATCTGCCAAGTCAGAATGAATTAATTCTAAGGCACATGTTGTGTTATGTTTGACTAAAGAAAATGACTTCTTAATGAACTTTGCTTCAGCACAAGTCTCACATTGTGTTATGGTTTCATTTGACACATTAGATAGCAAGTTCATATTTTTTAGTCTATTCATGCATTTAACACCAATATGTCCTAATCTAGCATGCCACATGTCAAATGAAACAGCAATATACGCAGAACTGCCAGAGCCACTGGCCACATTATTCATGTTGATTTCAGTGGTTTTGTTTGAAATGTAAGGTAACACAAAAAGACCCCCACGCATGTAACCTTTCCCCAGATAATCCCCCCTACGAGTCATTATCATTTTTTCAGACTCAAACACTAACTTAATCCCGGCCCTCACCAGTAAAGGTCCCGAGACTAAGTTTCTTCGCAGGGAGGGTACATACATTACATTGTTTAGAAACAATTTTTTTCCTGAACATAACTTTATTTCTATGGTACCACTACCTCTTACCTCAGCCACGCTATCATTGCCCATAAAGACTTGTTCACCTTGTCCTCGTGCAATAGCTTGAAAGCCTTTGAAAATGTTCTTGTTTGAGCAGAAGTGGCGAGATGCTCCAGTGTCCACGATCCACTCTTCAGAGTCTTCTATCACATTGGCTTCTAGTGTGACAACAGCTGCCACTACTTCATGGTCTTCCACCACATTTGCTTGACAATTTGAGCCTCCTTGGTTCCTCTTATGTTCAGATTCACCCTTCCTGTGGTAACACTGTGCCGCGCGATGCCCATGCTTGCCACAGACATAGCAGCCACCTGGTTTTCCTGTTTTTTTGTTCTTGTTCGTTTTGAACCTGTTGTTGTTGTTTTCCTTCATGCCTTTCTGCCAACTTTTATTTTGACCATTGTGTGCAGGTTTTGACCTGTCACTTGTTTCGATTACATTAGCCTTTAAATTTTCAGGAAATGAACTCGTTTTTTGCCTTAGGCGGAATGCCTCTTCAATGTTGATATGATTTACCATTTCTTCCCACGTGCTTAGTTTAGGTTCATGTTTCATTTTATTTTGAAATTCTGACCACGATTCAGGCAACTTTTCAACCAAAGAATAAGTTTGTAGAGTATCACTTACCGCAATCCCCTCAGTGATCAGATCCCCAACTAAATTTTCAAATTCATGTACTTGAGCAATTATAGGCTTACCATCAACCATTTTGTAGTTTAACCAGCTGGCGACAGCGTATTTTTTCCGTCCTGCATCGTCTGACCCGTATTTCTTTTGCAGCAAGTCCCAGATTGCCTTCGCGGACTTGTGAGGTGCGTAGATGTCCAAAAGAGAGTCAGACATGTACTGAAGTAGAATGCCTCTTACCATTTTGTTATCTCGCTCGAATTTGCTTCGACTGTCTTGAGTTGTTTCAGAAGGTTTTGCAGCTGCCGACGCAGTCGCAGATGCTTTTGGATCCGGAGTTGCTTCTTCTGTTGATGTGGTCTCGAGTTCATCCGTAGCAGGTGTGGTTGGTGTTGCCGCAGTAGGAGTTGCATGGTTGGTGAGTACATAATCCACTTCGTGTGTTTCGAAGTGCACCATCATCTTTACAGCCCACCTTCGGTAATTGATACCGTTCAGTGGTTCAATTTTTGTAAGTTCAGCAGCGGGCTTGGATAGGAGTGACGACATCTTCATGATTAAGCTTTTAACTGTTGTGGTTTTTGGAAGAGTCGTAGTATTTTTGTATAGGTTAAGCGTTGTTTGTATTCTGTGACGTGTGCAGGACACTGCCTTAAAAGCTTAATGCCGGAGACTGTGCGGTCTTTTTCCCGACGCTTTCGACTGGCTAACACAGAAGTGCTCACGTTCTCTTTGCACTATGAGAGATACGTAGTATATATATATCGATTATATCCAGTGTAACTTCAGAGGACTGGGAAGGCAGATATATATAATGGTGAGAGTATCTGACTTCCCAGTATCAGCCACAACCAACCGTAAAATTAGATGAAGGAACGCAAAGGGAGGAACGCTATTTGCGTTCGTAGTGCGTTCGTAAATGTCCACTAACGCCGCGCAAAAGTCTCTCTTGCCTAAGATTAATTCTGAGTGCGTAGACTAAGAATAATTCTGTGGAGTAGCGGAAAAGTCGGACAAAAAAAATAATTGCCGCGTAAAACTTCGACCCCACCACACCGCGTCGTGCGAACCGAGCCGAGTGGGCGGCGGCGGCGGCGCGCGCGGGGACTTCTCCTTTCCCTCCCTTGAAAAGATTTCAAAAGCTCCAAAAGGGTTGGCATTTAAATGATGGGAAATTGTCCCTTAGGAGACCAATGTGGGACAAATGACAAAGCTAAACCTCAACACCCTTGGATGTATTCTCCAACAATTTCATCATCTCAGGTAGTACTAAATTGCATATGCAGATATTTTTTTATTTTTTGATTTGGTTTTGGGTTTCTGCATCCTTTACTAAGATGCCATGTCCATATGCCTTCTTTTTGGAACACCTGCTACTCCATACCTCTGTCTTTTCTTGGCTCACGCATATTCATCTGCTTTAATTTGACCGTTGACCGCTCCGTTCAATAATTTATTGTTACTATTTAATAATTTATTGTTTTCTGTATTTTGCATTACTTGATCATAGATCAAAATCCAGGGGCAGGGGCCTGAAAATATAGTAGAGTGTATAGAAGATGTTGAAAAGGCCTGTCTCATTTCATTTTGTCCATTTTGCATGATATATATGTTTTTTCATAGGAAGTCTGTCAGAAAACTAGTTGGCCGGTATGTACAGATCGAGATGACGAGATACATAGCTGCTAATTAATAATTTAATTGAGTTTAGCCTTGAGATGTTAGTATTGACGTTTGAGGATGACTGCTGTTCTTGTTTTGTCTGCCAGTGTTTTGTGCTTTTATGGCATGGACAACACTTCTCTGATATTCCTCCACTTATTAGTAATAAATGCTAAAAATATGAAATAAATTTGTCAGCTAGTATTTATTCTATTTGTATCAAATTTTTTATGCCAAATTCTGTATTTAATGTGGCTTCATCGAAATAATTCATATTGTGGTCAACTAATATATGAATAGCTAAGCCACATAAAATGGTACAAATGACATTCTCCTTATTTATTTGAAGCTCTAATATGACATTACTGATATTCATTCCTATAATTTGCTACATTGTGTTTTATTTAATACTATTATTTTTTTTGTTTACTGTCTACAAAATGATCTTTTTAGAGTAAATTGTATCTATACATTTAGTTGCTTCTGATAGATTTCAAATTATCTTGTGTAGGGGATTGGTAATCATTTTACATGGTCTGAATGAGCACAGGTTAGAATATTTAATTATTTTGAGGCATTAAGTGATTTCCAGTAAACTATTATGCTTATAATACTTAGCTTATTTAACAGTGGAAGGTATAATGATTTTGCCAAGAAGCTGAATTCAAATGGCTTCAAAGTTTATGGAATGGATTGGATTGGTAAGTACAAACAATTGATGAATAGTCTAAAGCACACTTTTTATATTATTTATTTCCCTTCTCTCTATTTTTAATTGCACGTTTTGAGTAATCAAAGTTCGAACTTCATTTTGTAACAGTCTGGCTATTATTATTTTTTTCATCTTCTATTAACACCTTGCTCTGTGCTATGTTTCCTCACCTGACAACTTTGAATGCACATCTAAATTTTAGCTTTATTAGCATTTTCATGTGTTTTAAATAAGCTACATAGGAAACATAAGTGCATACTGCAGCTTTGACTCTATATGCTTTTTTATTAGAATGTCCATTTGTCAATATTTTTATTCTGTACTTTTAGCACCAGCTTGATATGAACTTAAATGCTTATGTAAGCAGAACTCATGAACTTTATATATGTTTTGACGGGTTATAGCAGATGTTCTGGAGTTTGATAAATGTATCACTTTAGAGTTCTTTTCTTCCGTTTCTTATAAACAACACTCACAAACACATGCATAATTGGGCAGATGGAGGAGGCCTCAAGGGGTTGGTGAAAGCAACTTCCAAGAATCACTTAGCACATGTAGATGTATCTTGCTGAACAGGTAAATCATCTTCAACTCTTCAAATACAGTAATCTATTTGCTTAATCTGCATGCATATCTGTGTCAATCTACATCTATTCCTGCTTCTGCACCACCTAGAAGAAGAGGCCCTAACTCTTCCAGAAATTTGAAAAAGAAGAAGGCAAATGAACCAATTTCAATTCAATTTGATGAGTGCAATAGGCCAATTGGACCATATTCGAAGAAGTTTGTGTCTTATATTGGGATTATGGTTCGTTCTCAAGTAGATATCAACTTCAAGAATTGGCGGAGTGTAAAGCAAACCATTAAAGATTCAATCTGGGAAGATGTGAAGGTATCAAATCATTTAATATTAATATAATTACAATTATATATATGCCCATTGCTTATGTGTATGTTGTTTTTCAGAAAGAATTTGCTATTGAAGATGTTTCAAAGAAGTCTGTGGTTTTGAAAATTGCATCAAAAAGATGGAAAGATTTCAAAAGTAGATTGATTCGTGAACATTATAACAATAAGCACCCACTCTACGAATCTCCTGCACAACTTTATGATTACTTGTCGGTTGAGCAATGGGAGAAGTTTGTTGCAGGACGGCAGACTGAGGAGTTCAAGGTATTATTTAGCTCATTTAATTATAAGTAGTTCAAGTGTTTTATTAATATTAACATGTGAATAAAATTATAGGAGAAAAGTCGGAAGGCAAAAGAAAGTCAAGCGTTAAATGTGCATCCACATTTCTTAGGTTCTGCTGGATATGCATCTAAACGACAAGAGTGGATGATATCAGACCCCTTATCTTCACAATCTTCGTGTGCTACTATTAGCTCTTCTTTGATGTCCGATGACCGAAGCTTTGATTGGATACGAGCAAGAACAAAAAAAGCAAAAGATGGAAGTTATTATATTCCAAACAAAAAAACACAAGAAGTATTTCAGAAAATTGTAAGTATACATTACACCTTAACTATCATTTGTTGGTTGCCTTCTTATGCTTCTTCTTCTGCTTAAAATGGTGAGCTTTGCCTAAATGGTTAGACATTAAATAAAAATGTCTAAGAGTAGTCCATTAGATCATGAACCAATATAGTCCATTAGATCATCTCATCCCCAGCTCACCATCAACACTGCCAAGCTTATCAAGTGTATCAAAACTCATCATAATTCAATTACTCGGATCATTCCTACCCAGATTCCAGAATATACAAGCCTAGCGATCTGAATTATTTGACATCAAGAAACTGAATTTGAAGAGAATTTTGTTGCCTTAGGGTTAAAATAATAAAGTGAAACAAGCATGCTACCTCATCTTGAGCAAAACAACCCAAAATGCTAACTTAAATGACAACTTTGTTTACAAAAACACACTGCACACTATTACTCTGACATGCACCATGGCTTAGCAACCAGTGTTGGGGTACTGTATTCATGCAATGTTTGATTACAAAAATGAACATCATATCAGTCATAAGTTACTAATGATGTTTATTCAATTTTTTAATAAATTTAACTTTCTAATGTTGAATTATTATTATTGTTATGCATAAGTTACTGCAGTTTTTTGGGTAAAATTCAGTTTATTTTCCCTTTGGACTTATTTAATCACTACTAACTGTTTGACTACTCAAACTCACAAACACAATCAACTTATTTGTTGGAACAGGTAGAAAAATGTGAAGAAGTTAGTCAAGGGACTTTTCAACCGAAGAGACATCATGATATATTGTCAGCAGCTATTGGAAAGGAAGATTATTCGGGTTCTGCAAGAGGAGTTGGTGGATACGCTACTATCCAAGGAGTGTTTGGTAAACCAGAGCATCATAGAAGCACATCGAGTGGAGTTGTCTCGGTTGATGTTGTCAAAGAAATGATGGCGAAATGCAGGCAAGATGCAAGGCAAGATGCAATGACGGAGATGGAAGAAAGGTGGCAACCCAAGATTGAAGCTCTCAACCAACAACTCCATTTTTTGATGAAGAACATGCCATCAACACATTTAATTCCACAAGGTGTTTCGGATGGAACTCCTCAAAGTGTCCCTGCGCCTTGTGATATACCTCAGACCTGGAGCAGTTGTCATTCAGTTGATCCAATTGCCACAATTCAGGTAATAATATTAATTAGTTATTTCATAATCAAAATATCATTTCTTGTAAGATTAAGAGTAATATTTTTTTTATAATAGAGTGCGAAAAGGTGTAGACTTGCAGTATGTTCTGGTGGGATACCGATTGAGGTTGCAACAGGTATTGTTCACCCAAGAACAAATGAGACCATGGTGTATCATCAATCACTATTACCAAATTGTGTCAAAGTTTTTGTTGATGATGTGGTTGATGGTAGAGGAAAATTTAATATTCCCGTGCCAACACAACTTTATGCTACTGTAGAAGATATCATTGGCAATTTTGCACAGTGGCCTATACATTTAGTGATTTTGAATGAGGTATATATACATTATTAAGTTAATTTTTATTGTTTATATTTAAAATATTAGTATAATTACAATTTTATATTGGTAGGAAAAAAAGAGTTCACCAAACCAAAATAAAAATATGGGAGATCAAAGTGGTGAACTATCTACTACTGGAGTGCGACCTCCCATTGTTGGAGATGATGTCTTACAGCACTTAGGGAACAATTGCAAGTACTTAGTCAGTTTGTTGACATCATTTCGACTTGATAAAGACTGCATAGAGTTGGAGTGTGATGAAACAATCTTCTGTCATAGAAACACGCGTTTTATTTTCGTGATGGTGGAAGATATAAAGAATTTGATGATGATGACAAATTGGCTTGACGTGTCAATCATACAAGTGTTTATATTGTAAGTTTTTTAAATTATTCTTGTGTTTTATATATATTTCTTAAGTTTATTAGAAGTTCATTTTTAACTGTTAATTTTCAGATTTCTTAATCAGTTGTGTAATCAGAATCAAGTTACGTCGATCGGGTTTGCGTGTCCAACGCAAATTTCAAAGGATATGGCTAAAAGGAACGGTCCTGCTGTGGCGTCATATTTCATTAAACTCATGGAGCAGCATAATAATAAACAATTCATTTTAGCACCATATCATCAAGAGTAAGAAAATTGTTCCTTTACTTTAATAATATAACTTAATACCTTTATTTCAAATATTAGACATTAAATTTTTGGGAACATGTGCGTTTTTTTAATAATGTAGCAATCATTGGTTACTTCTGGTGATTTGCTTACGCTCAAAAAGCGTATATGTGTTGGATCCCTGGCTTCTAATCGCCGCACCATTCAAGTTAAAGCTTCTCTGAATATGTAAGTACTATACATAAATACATTATTAATATAAGTATTTTAATTTATATTAATTATAATTTTTTATGTATATATATGTTTATAATTAATATTTAATATAGGGCATTTCGTTCTATTCCTACTGGTGATGGACGAGCGACTAAAAATATCAACTGGAAGACATGCAAAGTATGAAAAGTAATTAATTAAAGTTTTAATGTGATAGTTTGAATTTTTATTGTTTAAAATACTAAAATATATATATGTATTTTGTAGTGTCCACAACAAGTGGGAGGTTATGAGTGTGGATATTATGTGATGCGATACATGTTTGATATTGTGACAAAATATTCAACTGTTGATAAATTAGATGAGGTAAGTGAATTTAAATAGAAGTATTTATAGTTCAATTATATTTTATTAATTAATATATTTAATAATTTGATTACTTAAATTATTTTGTAGGTATTTGAAAGCAATCCGTACTCTACCGATGAAATTGATGAGATTCGAGACTATTGGGCAAAGTACTTCTTGGAAGAGTGCATGTAATTAACTTGTTTTTTTGCTAGTTGGTTAATTAAAAGTTTTTAGGTAATGCATGTGTTAACTATATATTAGGATGGATTGTGAGAGTATTGTATGTGTTGAAAGTATTTGGATGGATTATGATATAGTGTTAAAATTGTATTATTGATAATATTGTGTTAAATTAGGTTGATGGATGGGAGTATTGTTTTTATAATATTGTGTTGATATATATTTAATTTGTGAATATAAATTTGTACAGGATTTTTAAAAAAATTTGGGAATTTTAAAAATAATAAATTATTTTTAAAATAAAAAAACAAATCCGCTACCCTTTCTATGAAGGAAGAGTAGCGAATGAAGTAGTAAAATGAAGAGAAATCCGCTACCCTTCTATCAGAAGAAGGGCAGCGGATATTCTAGTAATCCGCTACCACTCTACAAGGGACGCGGAAACATATAGGGTTTCTGCGTCCCTCGTATACGCTACCCTTGTACAAGGGTAGCGGATAGCCTTGTACAAGGGTAGCGGATTTACAAATCTGTACTAGTGAATAAATTTTAATTTATTATTTTATTATGTGTAAGTAATTTAAATATTATTTTTTAAAAAAAATAATAAGATTATAACTGGTGGTACCTGTAGTGGGCACCCGCACCCGGTGGGGGTGAAGGTGGGTTTTGAAAAAGTCCACCCCACATCCACATCCGACCCATTGCCATCCCTAGCTCTAGATGAAGAACTTTGGACCCTCGCATAGGATGGCAAATTATGCCCTGGAAACGTGTTCACCATGAATGGTGAACACGGGTCCAAACGGCGCCGTTTTTACGTAAAAAAATAAATAAATAAATAAATTCGCTAATGTGGTGTTAACGGCGCGCGTTTGGTCAGATTATGAATTTTCTGTTATGAGATTATGAATGTACTGTAAATTCATAATCTCATAACAGAAAATTCATAATTTATGAATGTTGAAGAAGCTTGCGCTACAGAGGAGCAGCCATGGTTTCGGACGGGAATGTGTAGGCATGGTTCCAAAGTGAATGTGCAGGCATGGATTCATAATTTATGAATTTCCGAAATTATTGCTCACCTCAAATTAAAGTGAAACCGCGAAATGTGAAAATGAAGAAGAAAAGTCACGCGATTAAATAAGGAAAAAAATAATAATAATAATGGTGCACTAACACCGTTGGGACCATGTTCATTATGGATATGATGGTGAACACGGTTCCATGGCATAACGATTGGCATAGGATTGGGAAGCGGTAAAGACTATCTCAGGTGTCCAAGTATGTGACTGTATATGCTCCTAGTATGGTTCCCAATCACATGCATAAGAATATAGTCTACATTTAGAGGAACTTAGTGATATTAAAAAAGAAATTGATGTTGAAGTTATTGTGAAAAACGAAGAATCATCAACACCTGTTAATTGTGTAGTAGTGGATGATTTGGGTATGCATGAGGTGGTCAATAAATCTTATAACTGTGCTAGCTGAAATTGTTGGAATGGATTAAATTATGTGGGTTTGTAGTGCAAATTGAAGTGGAACTGGATGTCTTCTATGACAATCTAAAATGCATATATAGGTGCAGTGAGTTTGCTTTTAATCCAGGGGGAATTGTGCAAAGCATGTCTAGGCCGAAGAGTGATGGTTTTACGAGGCATTCACAAATGAAGTATGAGTTTAGAAATGTACTTAGTCTTGTTCTTATTGGCTTCTGTGATTTACAACACTATCTTTCAATATTGGGTTCATTGGTACTAATTCCACTTGTGGTTGTTCCGGCATAGGGTGGCACCTATGAGGATACATCAAATGTTCCCTCCACTGTGCCTTTTGTGTTAGGGGTGTCAACACTTTTGCACACATTTTTTGGCTCAAGGTTGTCTCTAATACAAGGTTCTTCATTTGTTTATCTTGCTTCCGCACTTGCAATAATTAAGTCCTCAGAGTTCTTAAGATAGAATGGAGTTTTCAAGCATATTATGGAGGAGTTACACAGAGAGCTATAATAATTGCTTCATCTTTTCAGGCAATATTTGGATATAGTGGGCTTATGAGGATATTTTTGAAGTTGACTAGTCTAGTGGTTGTTGTCCCTACTCTTGCTATCGTTCCACTGGGTCTGGCTATAATACGGACTATAGCTTATCTTCTAGTTGGGGTGGGAGCCTATAGCTACAAGGGTTGTGATGTGAATGTATCAACATCAAATATAGTATCTTATCATTGCAATTAGAAGCATATTTCTAGGATGAAATATGGTCGAGTTGATACTTCCCAGGTTAGGGGTGGCGTTTCGGGATTTGGTTCAATTTTTTTTTTTTTTTTTTTGTTTTAGTATTTTGGTATTAAAAAATGATACCATTCAATTTAACATTATAGTTCGATTCGGTTTCGATTCAGTTGAAAAAAGTTCAGTTTCGGTTCAGAATTAGTTCGGTTCGGTATTCAGTTTAGTTTAAGAACCTCAATTTTTAACATTTACTAATTTTCCAAATACACTACCAAACAATAGATATTCACATAGTCAAAATCCAAAGTCTAAACATTATATAACAAAATAGCAATCCAAAATTCAAACATAGAGTTTTTTCCCAAAATGGTCCTTTGACTATGGCTCATTCTCAATTTTGCATTCCGACTATTAATTGCACCTAATGTGGTCCCTTGACTTTAAAAAATTACCCCAACTTGGTCCTCCGTTATATTTTCCATCAACTAGGTGTTAAGTTCGGGGGTATTTCCGTCAATTCAACCTACTTTGACCGTTTTGTTCATCAACGTGAATCATGGAGCTTTGACTTGTTGGAGGAAACCCACTTTGAACATTCTGTTCATCAATTCTCCACTTCATCCTCTGAGGACCGGGTGTTACGCAACATGCTACAGGTGGCGAGAGGGCCAAGAGACAAGTCTCAATTCCTGTAAAACTTCGTGACTATGTGTGCAGCTAAGTCTCCTAATTTTCAGGCCATGCAGACTAATTCTTTGCCATGTTATTTCCGTTGTAGTTAGTATAGGAAGTGCCAAATAAATAGTAGACTTTTAAGGGATCAGTTGTATGAGAATCACTATATATATTGTCGTTAATAAAAGTAAGGGATCACCCTGAATTTTGCAATCTTCTCTGTCTGAATTCTTAATACTCTGCTCCCCCTCTATATTTCTTTTCTGGAGGTTCCACCCTCATTAGTGGAATATTTCACAAACATAAACACAAACCACACAAATCATCCCAACATCTGGTGCTCTTATTGAGAGCCAAATGGCAAATGAAGGCGTACAAACCCGTCAACGGGCTCTCGAAGAACAACTACAACAAATGCGAGAAGCCCAGCGGAAAACCACAGAGGAACTCAGACAAGCTTTGGCAACCCAGAATCAAGCTTTTAACGAAGCCCTCAACAATGCCATAACAGAGCTTTCCGTGCGAATCACCTCCCTCAACGTCGTCCCAGCCGCTACCTCCTCATCGCAAGCCGTTACAAGCCATCCAAATTCCCCATTGCACTCTACGCCTCAACCACGTCATATTCGGTGTGACATGACCACTTTCGACGGCAGCAACCCGTTGGATTGGATCTTCCAAGCTGAGAAATATTTCAGTTTGTGGGAGACTATGGAAGAGCAGAAAATTGACATTGCCAGCTTCTACATGGTGGGGCAAGCTTTGTCTTGGTTCCAATGGATGCACAAAAACCAACAGTTGTCATCCTGGCGGGCATTCACTATCGCACTTGAGCAACGATTCGGACCCTCCTCATACGTGAACCACCGGGCAGCCCTCTTCAAGCTGACCCAGAAAACCACGGTCGCTGCATACCAGACCGAATTTGAAGCTGTTAGCAACCGGGTCCAAGACTTACCCCCAGGCGCAATATTGGACTGTTTTGTTTCTGGGCTGAAATCAGCCATACAAGCTGAAATGGCTATTCTAAAACCCAACACTTTATCAGATGCAATCGCTTTGGCTAAGCTAGTCGATGACAAGCTTCGGGACACTCGACCGATGCAGTCTAAATTCTCAGCACCTTGGCGGCCTTCCGGTGTCAACATGGGAAATCAACCGAACCCACCGCCAAACACTCTACCACCCTTGTTACCACTTCCTGCGCCCATGAACCATAAAACGCAATTGCCAATTAGGCGCCTTACGGCGGCTGAAGCTCAAGAGCGAAGAGCCCAAGGGTTATGTTACAATTGCGATGAGCGATATAGGCCTGGGCATCGGTGTCGCACGAAACAATTTTTAATCCTCTTGACGGATGATCCATTGGGCGAACCTGACGAAGTAGGAAACAAAGAGGATGTAAATGAGATGTCAGCAACTGTTGCTACTAAATTAATCATGGAGCCAGAACCCGAGATATCGTTCCATGCCTTGGTTGGGTCTACAGGGCCCCGCTGTTTCCGTTTGCCTGCTAGCATCCACAACCAGCCTTTCACAGTACTCATAGATACCGGTAGTTCTCACAACTACCTCCAACCGCGGGTCGCAAACTTCCTTCACCTCCCAATTGATCAAACTACTCGTTTCACGGTTGCGGTAGGAAATGGCGAGAAAATCCAGAGTGAGGGTACGTGCAAGAATATCTCTTTTGATATGCAGGGAGCACACTTCGAAGCAGATTTCCACATTTTAGAATTTTCTGGAGCAGACGCTGTTTTGGGAGTACAATGGTTGGAAGGACTAGGGAAAATCGTGACAGATCATAAAAAGTTGACAATGGAGTTTGAACACAAAGGTCAGCCAATTGTTCTTACAGGGAACCAATCGGCATCCATCCAACCTATGACTCACCATCAACTAATGCGGCTGCAGCAAGTTGATGCGGTATCTGAATGTTTCCTGTTGATGTTACAACCTCATCCTTCTCCAACTGCACAAGTCCAACCAGCCGTCCAGAGTTTGCTAACCAAATATTCCAAAGTTTTTGACACCCCAAAGGGCCTACCTCCAAGTAGGAATCTGAACCACCATATCAATCTCCTGCCACAATCGAGTCCCGTGAATGTTAAACCGTATCGGTATCCTCATTTCCAAAAAAATGAGATCGAACGCCAAGTCCAGGAAATGCTTCAAAATCAAATTATTCGACCCTCCACTAGCCCGTTTTCATCCCCAGTGCTCTTAGTACGAAAAAAGGATGGAACGTGGAGATTTTGCGTTGATTATAGGGCCCTAAATGCAATCACCATCAAGGACCGTTTTCCTATTCCAACAGTCGACGAGCTTCTTGATGAGTTGCATGGCGCCACCATATTTTCCAAACTTGATTTGCGAAGTGGGTATTTCCAGATTCGGGTCCATCCACCAGATGTTCACAAGACTGCGTTCCGGACACATGAGGGTCACTACGAGTTTCTGGTAATGCCTTTCGGGCTCTCTAATGCCCCATCTACATTTCAAGCGACCATGCATGCGGTTTTCAAGCCTTGCCTACGGCGGTTTGTATTGGTTTTTATTGACGATATCCTTGTTTATAGTCGCTCCACATCTGACCATGTTCATCACCTTCAAACTGTTTTGGAGTTTCTCTTGCAACATGAGCTATATGCAAAATTATCCAAATGTAGTTTTGCACAACAAAAACTGGAGTATTTGGGGCACCTAGTTTCAGCATATGGCGTGAGTGTTGATCCGGCGAAGATACAGGCAGTATTAGAATGGCCTAAACCCAAAACGGTGACTGAGGTGCGAGGTTTCCTCGGCCTAACTGGATATTATCACCGGTTTGTTCAAGGGTACGCCAGGATAGCCGGCCCTTTAACAGAGCTCCTCAAGAAGAATGGTTCACTTGGAGTGTTGATGCAGACCAGTCTTTCGCTGACTTGAAGGCAGCTATGACAACCACTCCGGTACTTCATCTTCCTAATTTTCAATTACCCTTTACTGTTGAAACAGATGCTTCTGGTTCTGCCATAGGAGCCATTTTATCCCAAAATAAACACCCGATCTCTTATTGTAGCAAGAAACTTCCACCCCACTACAAAAATGCCTCAGCATATAGTAGAGAAATGTATGCCATTACGACCGCAGTTCAGCGTTGGCGTCCCTATTTGTTAGGCCGCCCATTCACAATCATTACAGATCATAAAAGCCTCAAGCAGCTGCTTTCTCAGACCATACAGACTCCAGAACAACAGAGGTGGCTAACTAAACTTTTGGGCTTTGACTTTGTTATCGAACATAAAGCTGGTTTGGAGAATAAGGGGCCAGATGCTTTATCTCGATGGACTAGTGAGGCTCAAGGGGGTTATTTGGCCCTCTCAGTCGCCACAACTAGTTTACTCTCCGAAATTAAGGCTTCATTATTTGAGGACTCCACAGCTAACCGTCTCATTGCTGCTATCAAACTTGGCAACCCGACCGATAATGGTTTTGCATGGAAAAATGACGTACTATATTTCAACGGGAAAATATATGTTCCAGAGGGGAAGGAATTACGGTGACGATTGTTGGACCTATTCCATTGCTCAAAACTTGGGGGACACTCAGGCGAACAGAAAACATATGCTCGATTGGTTGCATCCTTCTACTGGCCGGGAATGCGCAAGGACACTAAGTTATACATTCGCGAATGCTCCATTTGTCAGCAAATTAAGCCAGAAAATTCTGCCCCCAAAGGCTTATTACAACCCTTGCCGATTCCTACGCAGGTGTGGGAGCATATCACAATGGATTTCATCACGGCTTTACCTCAATCAAATGGTTAAACGGTGATCTGGGTTATCGTTGATCGACTGTCTAAATATAGTCATTTTTGTGCTCTTCCTGACGGATTGACTGCTCCAAAATTGGCTGAGTATTTTGTTCAGGAGTATGTGAGACTCCATGGTTTCCCTCGGTCCATCGTGTCTGATCGGGATCCCCTATTCATGAGTTCATTTTGGAAGGAACTTTTTCGCTTACAAGGGACCAAACTCAAGCCTAGCACTGCATATCATCCGCAAACGGATGGGCAATCGGAGGTGGTAAATCGTAGCCTCGAGATGTATCTCAGAGCCTTTTCTGGAGATTACCCAACCAAGTGGTCACGAGCGCTCCCATGGGCTGAATTCTGGTACAATACTAGTGTTCACACCTCGACCGGATTCTCCCCTTTTCAAGTTGTGTATGGCAGACCACCACCTCCATTAGTGGGCTACTCCGAAGGTGCCACCGCTGTTGAACGGCTAGACGATGCGCTTTTGGCCCGTACTGATCTTATGGCTACGCTCAAGACAAATCTACAACGAGCTCAGGAAAGAATGCAGGTCCAAGCTAATCGGCACCGTCGTGACAAGGAGTTTAATGTTGACGATTGGGTTTATGTCAAATTACAACCCTACAGACAGGGGTCTGCAGCCCAACGCCATAGTCACAAACTTGCTAAGCGTTATTATGGTCCTTTTCCCATCATTGCACGCATTGGGAAGGTCGCTTACAAATTATCATTACCGGCAGCCTCACGTATCCATCTAGTGTTCCATGTCTCATTGTTAAAGTTCTGTCCAAATCCATCTATAGTCACACCAGCGCTTCCCCCACCATCTGCGGATCAGTTTCCTGTTCCGCTACGCATACTGGATCAACGGGTTGTTAAGGAGGATAAAAAGAAGCGGCTACAAGTTCTCGTTCAGTGGGATCGTACGTCGCCTGCAGAAGCCACTTGGGAATTTTGGGACATCTTCCATGCATCCTTCCCGACCTTTAGCCTTGAGGACAAGGCTTCTTTCGATGGGGCGGGTAATGTTACGCAACATGCTACAGGTGGCGAGAGGGCCAAGAGACAAGTCTCAATTCCTGTAAAACTTCGTGACTATGTGTGCAGCTAAGTCTCCTAATTTTCAGGCCATGCAGACTAATTCTTTGCCATGTTATTTCC